AGAGTTTGCCACAGTTGATTCAAAGGGTCTGACCATGGGGGAAGTCCAGGATTTCCCTGGAAACTTCTTTTATGTTTGTTCTGTTTCTTTGATGTTATCCATGTTTGTGAATTATTCCACTGAGGGACTGTGTGGTAGAGTCAAAATTGGGCCATAAATATTCCCCATCCTTGTGTTCATTTGCTTCTGCAAAGTCTCCTGCCCTAAGGTGACATCCGTTTTTCCTCTCCTTGAACTGGCATACGGAAAGCAAGCAAGGACTTGAAGAACACTTGTGAACTGGGCCTCTCTCTCCTATCTACTCTTTAGAGTCATTGAATCTACTGTATTAAGCAGTTTACTCCAGTCTTCTGGAGTATCAGATCAAGGACATGAAACAAAAACAGACAGCCCATGGAGCTTCCCCCAGTCTGTCAATCTAATGTGATGTGGATAAAACCATCTTAAGCAGTTACCAGCTGACTTCCCAGGTACCTGAGATAAACAGATAAGTCCCTCTGAGACAAACTGAAGTGGCCATACCAGAAGAATCTCAATTGTGAACTAAACAAACAGTTGGTTTAAAAAAATCAACTGAATTTTTGGCTGGGGATATGGCTCCGTGGTTAAGAGCACTTACTGCTTTTGAGAAGGATCTGGCTCACCCAGAACCCACATGGTGACTTACAACCATCTGTAACTCCATTTTTAGGGGATCCAGTGCCTTCTTTTGGCCTTTAACAGTATCAGGTATGCATGTGGTATACATATATATATATATATATATATATATATATATATGTAATATATATGTAAAATAAATGTAAAATAAATCGTCAAAAAAATCCACTGAGTTTTGAGGTACTAGATAATTGATGTGGAGTTATATTGTGTGTGATTTTCTGTCTTGGTGGAGTTTGTGTTCCTGAAGATGAAGGGATGTAATTCCTCAGAGGGTGCAATTCAGACACTTGCCTTAACCAATGAGCTTCCTGTGAAACAACTGAAAACTCCGCGGACCAATGCAATGGCAGGTGGGATGTTCCTGAAATTGCTCCCCAGTGTTGGCTTGCCTCTCATGTATCTCTGGTGCCAAACATCTTGAGGTAAACCCCAAATTCCCATAGGTAAAGAATCTACCCTTGTGGTTTGTGTACATCCTCACTTGTTCCAAAAGCAGATGGTTTTATTCCGAGAGTCCATTCTGAGTTCATGTGCTCTGGTGGCCGTTTGCTTCTAGCTGCAGCACAGTGTGCGCTGCAGGCAGCCTCTAAGATGGTCCTCCAACACTCCACCTCCTGGGAGTGTTGCTTCATCTCTCCCTTGAGCCTAAGCCGATCTTATTGAATGACACTTCTAAAGACTAGAAAACAACAATGTGAGATGTCACTTTACATGCATGGTGGATGCAAAGACTGTGATCTCCAAGTTGGGCGCTTCTATTTGATCACTGACCCCAGAAGCCACCTTCTGTGTTCAGAGGTGGCCCCGTGAGAAGCTCGTGAGGAACTGATGCTGTTGACCAGTATAGCGCAATAAATAAAAGACTCAGAGACAGATTTGGGGTTCAAGCTACAAGCTGAAGATCAGAGAAGCAAAGTAGCCTGCCACTAGCTCTTACCTCTACCTCAGCTCAGACCAGAAGGGTGATCCTCAGACTGCTCCCGACTTCACTGCTCCTCAGATTCACTCAGACTGCTATGCTCTCCTCAATGTGACTAGAGACTCCTGAGACTGAAGACCCTGCTTCTATCTTTTATATCTCCCTAGTGCTGGGATTAAAGGCGTAAACTCTGTTACTCTTTTAGACTGATTCAATCTTGTGTAGCCCTTGGTGGCCTTGAACTCAGAGAGATCCATCTGCCTTTGTCTCCTGAGTCCTGGGATTAAAGGTGTATACCACCACTGCCTGATCTCTATAGCTTGAGGCTGACTTTGCTTTCTGAATCCCCAGGCAAGCTTTAATAAATCATAAATAATATATCACCACAGACAAGTATATGAGACCAGGAAGTGAACTTTGGTCTCTCTGTTGAACATGACAAGATATTACAACTTTGATTAGCAGCTTGCCTAAAACCTAGTAAGACTGTCAACTAAGCCACACCCCTATTCAAAATCCACAGATATTGAGAGGGAATATTCATTGTGTTAAAGTATCGAGTTCACTTGTAACATGGCAATAGCTAACTAATAGCTAACAATTTAGGTCCAGCCAATCCAAATACCTGCCTCTCCTGTCTAGTCACACACAGTGCTTGGCTCAGAAATGTACATAGGACCAGGCTAAGCCAATCAGAGTAGCCCATCAGACTTTACTGTTATTGGAAACTAACATACACTCATGTATTTTATGTGTGTGTGTGTGTGTGTGTGTGTGTGTGTGTGTGTGTGTGTGTGTATGCACATATGTGTACCACAGCATGTGTGTGTGTATGTCAGAAGACAACTTTAGGGAGTCAGTTCTCTTCTTCCACCACATAGATTTGTGGGGTTGAGAGTGAGCACCTTTACCTACCGAGAAGATCCTCCAGCAGACTTTTATAGGCACCTTCTCTCTTTTCTACAAGACAGGATCCTAGTGAAGTGAGAAGTTGAGACTTCTGCAGCCATCATGTCCCTGTGAGTGGAGAGTCCTACACTATAGTGCCTGGCCCAGCACCGGTGCCTGGTACTCACTAAATGGAAGACAGGCCAATATGTAGCATATTCGGAAGCAGGAGCAGATGACAGGGATTGGTAACTGCCTCTCTAATACAATCTTAAATGGGACACACTGCCAAATGTCTATAAGAAATCCACATGTTTTTGTTTTCATATATGCTGCATAGAACCACAGTTTTCAAGTTTGAAGTTGGCTTCAGCCAGTTTTCACTGGCAGGGTTTCTAAACTCTAAAGATGAGCTCACTAGTAGATCCAGGGATTCACTGTATCTGCCCATTTGCTCCATTTGCTGGGGCTCCTCCAAGACAGGGGATGAATAAACTGTAGAGAGTTGGGATGTACGTGGCATATGATGAGTTTGCTCTTTTCTGCTACCCACCAGCCTTAGCAGCTACACAGGCATTACTGCATATTACCAAAAGAAAACAGAAGCATGACTCCATTCAGAGATGAAAGCAGCAGGCTGACACGGGTGATTCAGTGCCGTGCCACCCTGTGCTGGGAGTGGGGACTCCTCATCTCACCAACTGTGTCCAGAAGAAATCCTCCTATTTTCCCATGTTTCCTTGTGTCTTTCTGAGCAAGTATGGCGACTGGGGAAAGGGTGTACATATTTTCCTTTTGCAAGTGCTGGGTTAAATTAGGGTTAAACAGGCAAAAACAAATAAAAAACAAAATGCAACAACCCCCACAAAAAAACAGGAGTTCCAATAGCAACATCCTTGAGGACAACAAGGGCTCAGTCTGTACTGACACCAGCCTCCTTGCTGACTTTTATCATAAAGTTTTTATTAAATATTCTGCATTTATTCTTTTTTAAAAGGTTTTATCGTTTTGTTCTGCAGATTTTATTTGAATCAGAAACAATATTGTTTTACATGACAATACCAGTTCCCTCTCTCTCCCCTCCTCCCTACCACTGCCCCCCCAACTAAAACCCTACCTATCACATATCCTTTCTGCTTCCCCTGGATGGTGAAGCCTTCCATAGGGTGTCATCAGAGTCTATCATATCCTTTGGGATATGGCCTAGGCCCACTCCCGTGTGTCTTGGCTCAGGGAATATTCCTCTATGTGGAATGGGCTCCCAAAGTCCACACCTATGCTAGGGATAAGTACTGAACTACTACAGGAGGTCCCGTAGATTTCTGAGGTTTCCTCACTGAAACCCATGTCTGCATTTATTCTTAAAATTTATTTTTAATGGTGTGTGTGTGTGTGTGTGTGTGTGTGTGTGTGTGTGTGTGTGTGTGTGTGCTGGGATTATCAGGGGACACACTGTAAAAATTTGTTTTATTCTTTTGCCATGTGCTTCATGGGAATGGAGCTTGAGTCCATAGGCTTGGCAGCAGGTAGTTTTATCTGTAGGCCCATCTCACCATCCCCTCCCACACTTAAAGACAAGGTTCTAAGTAGTCCTAGTTGACCTCAAACTTGCTATGTGGTGGAGGAGAGGATGCCTTTGAGCTCCTGATCCTCCTTGCCTCCACCTTAAAAATGCTGGGATTGCCTAGTTTAGGCAGTTCTGATCGAATCCAGAGTTTCATGCATGCTTAGTAAGCATTCTACCTACTGAGTCACACCCCAGCCCAAGAATGTAGACACTTCTTAATTCTGTTGAATTATTTCCACAGGGAAAGGTAAGTCCAATTGTGGTCAGTCTCTTGATTTTTAGCACCCCCATCTGAAAGTCCACAAAGTTCATATGAAATGTTCCATTTTAAATGTGTATAGCAATTTCAATGCAAATAAAATCAATGGTAGTGAAAGACACCAGTCAACTGGCAATGTCAGCTTGCATTCCTCCCATCTGTGAGGTAGTGTGTTCAGAAACAGACATGTACACAAGAGGGTTTGCATGTATGAATTCAGTTTAATCATACCAATTCTTAAACAAAAAGTTTCCTCCAAGAGACAAGAGTTCACAGTAACTGCAAAGCTTACTCACGACGTTTTAAAAATACCAGTCATGCTTAGGTAGCATTCAAAGGGGTAATAGAGAGTAACTGTAAAAACTTTGACCAGGAACATCAGCGTCTGACTTTAAAAATTACAAATACCGAAGCGTTTTGGTATCGGACACAGTTAAGTTTTGACACTGTTGGTTCATTGATGAGTTTCTGGAAGTCTGGAAAATTGTACCTCTATCAGTGGGTAATGCGCTTATTCTAAACTAAACATTTTCAAATGTAGAAAACAAACTAGCAAGCTATACATACAAAGAAAAGCCCTCTAAGACAAGCTCTCCACATGATGGATGCCAGCAGAGGCACCATGAATCCTGGAAGACTGGAATTGGTAACAGACACTCAGCCTGAAGTCTTACACCAGGCTTAGCAATGGAATCTGCATTCACCTACACATTAATGACAAACTCTGGGTTAGTATATGAGAAGCCAGCGAATTCATTTTGGTCCAAGTTCATGATGAAGAGTTTGTCAGTGGGAGTCAGTTCCACAGGCTGCCTGGTGAACTCTTTGTCGAAGTTGGAGGTGTCTCGCTTGTCTCTCTGCCAAATGGAAAGCAAACACATTAACACAGAAGCAGCAGCAGCAGCAAACATGACCAGGACATGCCAGTTACCAGAAGGCTGAGAAAAGCTCCTGGGCCATCAGAAAGCCCTGTGCTGACAGCTTTTAGCAGATGTATTCCATGTACCGGCTTTCACTTCATAGTATATGCTGGTTTGGGGAGAGAAAACTTGGTGCAAATATTCTATGAGAAGAAAAGATTTATTGATTTCTTTAAGAATTGACCTAAAGAGGTGTGTGTGTGTGTGTGTGTGTGTGTGTGTGTGTGTGTGTGTGTGGTGTGTGTGTGTGTGTGTGTGTGTGTGTGTGTGTGTGTGTGTAAGGGTGTACTATGCTTTGCCTTTGAGGAGAATTATATTGGTAACTATTTCCTTTTACAGCTAATGTCATAGAGTTAGTTAGCTCTTTAAAAATAGAGTATCCTGGAGGAAAACAACTCAATAGTGACCCCTGTGGCCAGGAGCTGACTTTGTTGAAAAAAATGAGAACTGTTTGAACACACTGCTCTCAGAAGATAAAATGGCCAGGTACAGAAAGTAGATCAGTGTTCATTGCAAGAAGGGAAGCATCGTCCACCTCATCCTCATAATGTCTGAGACTCATTGGTGACTGTCTCAACAGCCTAGATGGAGTCAGAATTGTGTCAGAAGATGTGGCTCAAAGTTAGGCCAATCTCCTAGGGTCTACTTAAGTCAAATTTTAGATTCAGCCTCCAAACGAGATTGATGGGAGTTAGGCTTTTGGAAGCTACTCAAAAGCCAATCACAAGAGTAAAAAATGAGCCTTCATTAGCCAGAGAGTTTCTGCAAAGATGGTAGTGCATTTTGTAAGAAACACAACCTCAAGCTTAAAGTAAGGTCTATGAAGGCAAGCTTGAAAAATGAGACTACTCAATTTTCAGAGTAGGTAACCTGGCCAGCCTGCCTTCCTGCCTTCCTGCCTTCCTTCCTTCCTTCCTTCCTTCCTTCCTTCCTTCCTTCCTTCCTTCCTCCCTCCCTCCCTGCCTCCCTCCCTCCCTTCTTCCTATTTTCTCCTCCTTTCTTACCTGCCTGCCTGACTGCATGTATAGGCGTTACTAGCTACAGTTTGAGGCGGGTTCTACCAGGAGATGTGAATGTGGGCTGACTAATGGGACTTTATGATGTGCTGGCCTCTCCAGGGTCCTTGTAAGCCTATTATTTTTTCCCATGTTCACCTCACATGTCTAGAGAAGGCAAAGCTGATGTCCGTGCCTCCCATTGTTTGATGTATGAGAAAACCCAGGCACAGGCCATTGAAGGGGCTTGCCCAAGACTGCACAGTGGATTGGTGATTTGTATCTGACCACATAGCAGCTAATTTTGCCTCAGTACAGCTGCTCTGGCAGGAGAGAAAGCCTGAGGACTGTTTGCACAATGCCTGGAATTTTTGAGCAGCTGGCAGCAGGTGCCTGGCTGAAGCCAAGGTTGTGTCATGCTAGAGTTTGTTGTCTGACTCACTTTGGTCAATTTTAGTAGGCTTAGCCCCTAACAGAGATTTGTTGATAAGGATTTCCCATTGCCAGGCTCCAAACTACTACTCCTTGGATGCTCCCTTGAGATAGGTAAGATATTCCCTACTTCCTACTAGGGTGTCTGAGTAGGGTTATGGGATTGAGGGGGACCAACTGGCATCAGGATGTCATCTGGAAGAGTATGGGCAGAGAGAGATAGGCTAAAGCTACTCATAAAGCTGTTTTCTACATGGTGGGCCATCTTTTGCCATTTCTTATTCATCCTGGCCTTTTGTGGAAGGTTCTAGGCTTGGGCACTTGATGTCTGATACAGCAGGAAACTTGGATGCCTTCTGTTTCTTTTTTTTTTTTCTTCTGTTTCTTTAATACTCTGTTTTCTCTTTACTGATCCTACAAGCCACATGTCAGCAACCTTCTCATTGTCTTCTGTGCATTTACTGCTGTGGAGAATTTGCATTGTTTCTTTCCAGGAGGGCAAGGTCCTTGTCTGTTCCTGTGTTTCCAATGCCAAGAATAGTACCAATCACATAGGAGGCTATTCATAAGTAGTCACTGAATCAATAAAAGAAGACTTGATTAAAGGGGCACTTCCTTGCTTTTCCTAATTCCTGAGGCAGATCCCTCTTCATACTTTAGCAAAATAATAGCAGTTATTTCCACCAGCCCTAAGGCTTACATAAAGGGACACTGCACTTGGAGCCAGTACGAAGTGAACTGTGTCTGAGCAAAGTCTGCAAGCTATAAGGATCTTTGTGGGCAGGAGAAGGGCAGACCTGGAGCCAGAAGACAGGCAGCTCCTCTTTTGGTCTCTCCCTATCTAGCCATCCTTACCTTGGAGTATGTGGCAGAACTTCCCTTCCTATAAACTCCAACTTTGGAAGCCTTTTCTTATTCACTGTGCTTCAATAAGCCATGTACTCCAAATAAGATTTCCTTTTAATGGGCTTCATCTCCTGAGTGGTCCCAGAGAATCCTTCAGGATTTTACCCTAGAGTGTTGGGAGGGAATGGGACCCTTTGTTGTGACAATACTTTTTGGGTTGTAGCATTTGAAGCCACATGAGAACAGGAACACTTGTCCTAAGAAGGGTATTGATTCTATTGGCATCCTGTGGGTCACTGATCATCATCGTGACCCTATCCTTTCTCAGAAGAGATCAGCAATAAACCTAAGAAATTAAACGGGTAGATTCTGGATCCAGACATCCGATTGGTCACACTTTATAACTTTAATTAAATTTCTTTGATTTAGTTTTTCTTCAGTTGTCTCAGAAGTTAAATACCCCCCCCCTTTTTTGTAGAAAATTTAAGCCTGTTTTAGGTGTGTTAGAGGGATCAAGATGTGACCAGAAAGAGTGACATGCTGTGATCAGCAGTATTCTAAAAGGGGAATTATGTTCTCCTGAGGGCCTGTGGCTATGGGAGTAATGGACCATGACAGGTGGCACTCAAGACTCAGAAATAAGCCATAAAGTCAGGTAGCTCCCTGTCTTCAGAAGAAGAGGTAACATGGTGCCTATCTGCTCACATTGGGGGAGCTTCTGTCGTCTGATCAAATGTGGAGATTGTGTCTTTGGACTTCCAGAAGAGTCCCTCCCATCTCTCATTCTGTACCCTCTGCACTACATGATGGTTGCAGAAACTAGGTTAGAGGACACCCTCAGCTTCAAACTGCTGCTGTTGAGAGACTAAGAGGCTGCAAAGACGCCCATAGTGGATTTTCTTAACAAGGCCAGAGACTATCTAGACAGCTTCATGCTTTTAATAACTTGTTTTATGACTGTCTTTTCCACAGATGGTATGCTGGAGAAATAGGGAGGAGAGGATGGATTGCATCTTTATTATTTCTCACCATGATCCTGGCACCCAGCCTGGCACACAGTTGGTGCTCAATAAATGCTACTTGAATGGATGGAATGGGTATAAATGTATGATTGCAAAAATGAATGAAAATATTTCTTCTTGGATAAAATTTCAAAATTTCCCTAGAGTTCTTATGTGATGAAAGCTGTTTCTTAGTTTCCTCTGATATAGAAAGTTGGTTGAAGAGGAAACAGTAGGAAGTCTGATTGATGATCACTTACTTCCACAGAAGCTTCTGGGACCTACCTTCAGCAAGGTACACTAAGGGAATGGAGACTTTGGCTTGAAAATTGTGGACCTTGAAAAATAATGGCAAGAATCTGAAAATGCAGAGTGTAGTGTATATATTTACATACATATATATATGTATATATATACATACTATTGTCCATCTATCTATCATCTATCTATCTATCTCTCAATCATCTATCCATCCATCCACCCATCTATCTATCCTTCTTACATTGTTTTCTAAGGTTGTCTCAGATCACTTAGATGGGTGCATCTATCTATCCTTCTTACATTGTTTTCTAAGGTTGTCTCAGATCACTTGCTAATGGCCCAAGGTTTCTCTACAGTTTTTATTCTGAGAATGTGTCCAAGGCCTGGCTACTCAGTAACCAGATGATAGACCCTATATAACTTGCTTGGGAGTGGGCATATGGCTCAGAGATATTTGTTTTGTTACAGAGCAGACAGAGCCATATGTTAGTAGGTCAGAATACCCACATTTGTATTGCCACTGACCAACCTTCAGAAAATTACTTCTACTCTCCAGATGCCAGTTGCCCCAATAATAAAGTGAGGAGTGGGGTTTCCCTGATCCCCCTCTGTTGCTAGCATCCTAAGATCATCAGCTAGGACTTCAAGTTTGCTTGATGTGATCTAAAATGTACAGGCCACAAACTTGAAGCAGAGTGGCATAAGAGGCCAGGAAAGAATGAACTATGAGGGTCTTTGCCTCAGCAGAACCCCAAGGCATTATCTTCTTAAAAAGGAGGAGGTGTACTTCAGGGACACTGGTCCTTTGATAGTTTCCGTGTGACTTCTCAGAAGCCCAGGAGGTCCTGGAAAATTTTTGACCTGTGATAAGAATTCTCTTTAGGACTATCTGAGAGAATCAGGGAGCTGAACTATAGGCAAGGGTGAGGGGCCACCTGCTGCCCTCATCTGTTCAGAGGGAAATGAAGCCTCTCCACCACTTGGACTTCTGGGAGCTCATTGAGTTGCTTGCTCAAGGAAGCTCAAACTTGGAAGAGTGTTGATTTTGATGAGAAGCTTAAAAGCCTCGGGCATGTCCCTAGCTAGGCTCCAAGCTTGACTCCGGTGGGAATGTGGGCTCTGAACTCTGAGGCTGTGGGAGGCTCCAGCCTGTCTACCCCATTTTAGGTCACCAGGCATTCCCTGAATGGTTTTCAGGCCCTGCTTTCTGGCTGGTTGAACACTGAGGCTATATATGACCCAGCCTCAGCCCTTCTCTCCTGAGTTCCTTCCTTGGGCCCTGCTTTGTAGTGTGGGTCCTCATTGTTCAAAGAGAACAGTTTTCTTTGAAATAGGATTTCTTCTTTTTTTGTCTTTTTTATTGTATCTTGATGCTAGGAGAAAAATATCAGAACAGATGCTG